GACACAGGGATGTGAGGACAGAGCAGACAGGGGTGAGGTGTGGGGCGACTGTTCACACGTCCCTCTGAGCCATGGTCCAGGCGATGAGCGCCCAACAGCAAATGCCTGTGTCCAGTGGAGATCCCCATTGACCGGCAATGGCGGGGCTGCCCAGACGCGGGGCTCCTGAAGGCGTCCCAGCTGGCTCTAACTATAGATTAGAACCTTCAGCTGCTTGTGGGAGGAGAAAGACACCCCAGTGTTGGAAAGAATGTCTCCCAGTAGGTTCTAGAGAAGCTTTTTTTTTTTTAAATATTTTTCTTTAATGAACCTCATACGCAAGACGCAAACAAGACCAAGCACATTATTTAGAAATGAGAGGAATTCAGATCACCACGTTCCACTGGGTCATCGCCCTGGCGCCCACGAACATCACTGAGCGTCAGAGACAATCCCCACCAGATCGCAACGGACAGTCCAGCCTTGTGGACAGACGTGGCCAAAAAGCCACGAGTGGGAATATGTGCACACATTGAAAGGTCTACAGGATTGGATCTGCGGTTCCTGGTGGCCTTTGTGTGGGACTTAGAGCTGTCCCTTGTGAACTTTGTTAAAGACCCAGTGGCAAGACGCTACACTGCAATCCCAGAGGTACACGGTTCAAATCCACCAGATGCTGTGCTGGAGAAGGAGGGGGCAATCTCCTCCTGTACCAGTCAGATCTGATTTGACCGTACACATAAAAATAATATAATAAAAATTACCCAAAAATTTAAAAAATAAAAGCAATTAAAAAAAATTTAAATAAATAAAAGACATGCCCACAGAGTCCAAGGGGGCTCCAGGCAAGCACCGAGGACCAGCCGCCACCACACCCCTGGCTGTCTGGCAAGTTCTAATCCGTTTTCAGCAGCACAGTTGCAGAGGGAAAAGCCATATTAAAAAAGCTGGGTTACTAGTGAGAAAGAACCCAGAGGTCTCAGGAATCTATGGGACATTCCACAGTGGAGTACGACGCAGCACATAGGAGCAATGATTTTGTAAATTACTAATGTGGGAGGGCCTGGAGAGCATGAACGTGAACTAACTCAGTCTCATAAAGACAAACGCTGTCTAAGACAATTACTGCAAAATGAGTACCAGGATTCGAGGAGGGAGAAGGGTGCTTAATCATAGGGTCACACAGTTTGATGGGTGGAGGGCTGGTTGGGTAAAGGAAAGGGGAAAGATCTGGTGTGAAAAACAACGTATATACGAACTTTGAAAGTAAACCAGTATAAAAATTATTTTTTAAAAGATAGTTTTGGGCTCCAGTGGAGCTTGCCCTGCCACAAGCCAACTTCTCCAGAACCTAAACGAGCAAGACCTGTGCGTTGACGCTCAGAGAGTCCAATTTACTTGTTAGGTTGGAGTAGCCCTGACACAGGGGCTTTTTAAACGCTTCAGATGATTGGGATTTTTCCAGTCAACTTTGAGGACCCCAGCTTAGAGCTGTTAGCACAGGGGAGGTGCTGGCTTCTCTCACAAGATAAGTTCAGTACTGTCTTAGGTTGGGGCATTTTTCCCCTTAAAGATAGAAATGAGAATACGAGGAAGAATACTTAAAATTTACATATATATACATATATATATTTATTTATAGAATTACTTGCATTTATAGAATTAATTATTTGCATCTATAGAATTTGCATTTATAGAATTATTTGCATTTATAGAATTAATTATTGAGGAGCAATGATGTAATTTTGAGGACTAAGGTGCACCTGCTTCCATTCATGGTCTTTTCCGTCACCTGCTATGCATCTGAGATCTGGGCAATCAATAAAGATAATAGAAGAAAAATCGATTCCTTTGAAGAAGAGTACTGAATATCCCATGGACTGCCAAAAGAACAAGCAGATATGTCTTGGAGAAGGTGCAGCCAGAATGTTCCTCGGAGGCAAGGACGGTGAAGTTTCATTTCACATGCTTTGGGCAGGTTGCTAGGACAAGGCTATTCCTTAGAGAAGGGCATCACGCTTGGGGAGGTGGAGGGATGGCAGAGGAGAGGGAGACCCTCAACCAGGTGGTTTGACACAATGACCGCAGCTGTGAGCCTGAGTGTGTTAGAGATTCTGAGTTTGGCTTAAGATAGGATGGAGTTCCAATCTGTTCTTCACAGGGTCCAGGTGAGTCGTACTTGACTTGACGGCATCCAATGACAAGATAGTATCTATGTCTATCTTTGACTCATGTACTTGGGACATTTTAGCAAAGAGGCCCACCTTACCTTTCTCCCTTAGAGCATAGAGTGACTGGTGGGCTTGAACCACCCCAGCCTTTTGGTTCTCAACAGATCCTTTAACCATTGTGCCACCAGCTCCCCTTGATCTAACATAGCTGAATACTATTTAAAAATGCAGTTATTTTTAAAAATTACTATTTTTTTCATGTTGCTGCTGATTGCTGTCGAGTCGAGCATGACTCACAGCGACTCTATGAACAAAAGACCTAATGCCTTTCTATAGCTATCGTCATTTCTCCAAGTTCATAGTGTCCAGAGGCATGTGGTTTAGGAAGTGGAGGCCACTCCTGCTTCCAAACTTGTTTTACAACTGGGAGCTCCACCAAACACTGTCCACCTTGGGAAACCATTCTGGCATTTGACACCCCAATGGCACAAGGTTCAGCATCCCAGCAAACCCAGATCACCTGAGTCCAGCAAATTGACAAAAAGTCATGTACAAAGTAGAAAAATGTCCCTCCGAAATATAACAACACTAGTCTCACTTAGCAGTGGTTAAATGCTGTCAAGTCAAATACGACTCATAGCAACCCTATGAACAAAAGGCCTGAACTCTGTTCTGTAATTAACGTCATCTGGTGTGTGTCTTACAAAAATCTTTTTTTGGATGAACTCAAAAGCATTCAATAGCCCCACATGGCCAGTGGCCACTCTGGTTCTTCTCTAGACCTGAGGACAAGAAATTAACTTGTGGCATCAAAAGAAGGGGATCTAAACAGCCTACACAGAGGGTAAGCTTGTAAACAGATTTTTCAGATAAGAAAATACAGGCAAAGGATAGTGAGGGGACCCATCTGGGGTCAGATTCCAAACAGCTGTGAGTTTCTTGCTACCTTGCTTCTGTTTTGCTTAATTGCCTGTTGTGGGAAGAATGAAGTACTGAATACAACAGGGAAGGAAAAATACAATATGCCAGGAGGACTTTATTTATTTTTTTTTAGGCAAAACAAATATGTATAAAAAAAACCCCTATGTTTATTGCAGCCTTATTCACAATGGCAAAGAGATGGAAACAACTCAAGTGCCCTTTGATATAACCAATGGAAAGAGAAACCATGGTACATTCATCCAGTGGAGTACTATGCAACACTGAAAACCAGGGAGGAATTTGTGAAATACAACACAGCATGGATGAGTCTAGAGGACATTATACTGAGTGGAATAAGTCAGTCACAAAAGGACAAATAGTACATATTTATCCACTATTATAAAATATTGGAGAGAGGTTTACACACACAGTGAATCACTCTATTGTGGTTTTCGGGGAAGGGAGAGGGAAAAGTAGAAAGCTAATTGACAAATAATTAAGATGGGAAATACTAAGAATATAGACTGAATGGTCAGACATTGTGTTCACTGTAACTAATGTTATGGAACAAAACAAAACACACATGAATAATTGATTGATTAGAAAAAATATGCTTTGTAAAGTTCCACTCCAATCACAATAAAAAAATGTTAAAAAAAGGCTGCTTATTCCAACAAAACCCTAACCGAGTGAATGCGGTTCGCACGAGTGTAAGTCAACAAGTTCAGAGAGAGGAAAAAAAATCACAGAATCTTTCATGAGGCACACACGTCATCATGGAAGCTGCTGTTTTGGAACATATCCTCCGCCCAGGTCTAGGCACTTCTGAAGGTGCGTCCCCACCTTTCCGAGCAGGTGGTGTGTGCTGGAGCTCCCAGGACAGGCTTAGATGAGCTGCCTCTGAAGGGCCCGCGGACCTGACTGAGGAATACAGCTCAGTTCTTCACACAAGAGATGGTCATGGGTTGCTATCAACTGGTTGGCAACTAGCAACAACATCCATTGGCATCTCTGTATTGAACAGGGGGTTTAGAGGGGTCATGGTTCACTGGGAGCCCGGTGGCACAATTGGTTTACTGCTCAACAGATGGGTAGTTCAAATCCACCCGCGGCTTCTTGGGATTCTGCTTCCCTGAAGAGTTTCAGTCTTGGAAATCCTTTGAGGAAGTATTACTTTGCCTTTCAGGGTTGCTTGGACGCCAGCAGGTTCGGGTGTTTGACGGTAACATTCTCTCTCTCTTCCCTTCCATGCGGGAGACCTAGGTTTTAATAATGAGCAGTTCACTTTGTGGAAAGTCACTATGTGGCTGGCTGTGGAGGCGTGGCTGTTACCACGTGGCCAGGAGAGCTTCAAAATCAAGACAGACTTGGTAGAAAAGCCGGGAGGATTTATTTTCAAATGAGCGATGAAAGCCTCTGTGGATTACACCGTCTGCTCCCATCAGTGTGGACTTCCACGAGTCCAGGGTGACCGGCTGGTGGCCCACAACCCTAACAGAATGTCAGTGGTTTAAATTCAAAGGGTGTTTATTATTTAAGCAGAGTGACCTAGGCAATCGTAGAATTATTTCATCCACTCAACTCAAGGGGATTCAGGTGGGCGTTTTTATGATCTTGTAAGCAATAGGTTTTTAAGGCGCTTCCTTTCATTGGGGTGGCGTGGAATATAATCGGGGGTCCTGATGGTGCACTGCTTGCTGGCTCAAAGGCTGGCATTCTGAACCACCCCGTGGCTCCATGGGTGAAAGATGGGTGGATTCAAACTCCCAACCTTTGGATTAGTAGCCAACCAAGCGTGTGCACTTTCTGTTGAAGCCAGGAGCTCCTGGACTCCGTCATCTCAGCAGACACCACCGGCGGCCTTGCTCTGCTGCCTGCCTCAGCCTCGGTCAACACAGTCCTTGGGAGCCATCGAAGGTGTTAGATGGATTAGATGGAGTGGGCACTCTCTGGACGTCGCCGGCTATGCCAGTCTTCCACTAACAGGACTACCAGGGCCAAGAGGACCAGGCCAGCTAGGCTGAGGCGGATGTGAAGCTCTGTAGTTGGATTCAAAACAGCAGGACCTGGGGAAAGAACATCAAGAGGGTGAATGTGGACACGGTCCCCAGACCAAACACGTGGCTGAGTCATTTCTGACGCGCGGTCCTACCGGCTAGAGGATAATTGTTCCACAGGATGGTGAGACTGTGAATCTTTACAGACCCGATGGCCACATCCTTCTCTCAGGAGAGACAGGTACCTTTAAGCGGCTAACTTTTCGATTAACATCTCAGCACCTAGTCCATTATGCCGCGGGATCTCCTTTATAGCTTCCTTAAGAAGTACGCATTTTTTGTCCTGGCCTGTGCGTTCTCTGCTCCCTGTGCTCAGCTCCAAAAGGGGGAGGGGGGTCTGTGGCAGGACACCTCGCAATCTACCTCTCAGGTTAGGAGGGCTGCCCTAAGAATAGGGCTGACTCAGGGAGCTCTGGTGGCCTAGTGGCAAGAAGCTGCACTGCAATCCCAGAGGTACGCGGTTCGAATCCACCAGATGTTTCTCTGGAGAAGGAGGGGCAATCTCTTCCTGTACCAGTCAGATATGATTTGATGGTACACACACACAAGAAATAA